AAAGAGTACAAGAAGTTTTGGGTTCCACTGATTGCCATAACAGGGTACCAACTGGAAATCTTCTTGTTTTCACTGATCAGCTTTTCAGTAGGACACCTGGCTCCATATCGCTCAAGGTGGTCATCATTCCCTTGGCCAAGGACCACATTTCAAAGCGCCAGACCATAGATATAATTTTCCATTAGCTTCCGGAGTATGGATGGATTCCAGAGAAGGAAAGAGTACTGCCGAGACGCATCTCTGAAGAGACAATCTTACTAGCGAGTAACCCGAAAACCCTAAGTGTTTAGAACTAAGGAACTGTTCAGTGATGGCGACGGTGGCCGGAACGGCGGCGTTGACGGCGGCCGGCGACGGACGACGGTGGCCGTCGGCGGCGACGGTGACCGGCGGTTGACGTGGCCTGACGTGGGGCGGCGTCGACGGTGGCCGCGTTGATTGTGGCCGGCGGCGGGCAAGCTTCGGGCGCGGCGGGCAGCGGCGGTCGACGAAGACTATGGCGCCGGACAGATATATATTGAGAGACAGAACCAGAGCGTTATAGACCCGCTATGAGACCAAACATTAAGATTGAAAAGAAATAATCTTGAGGGCTTAATTGATCCCGCTCAAAATCTTCTATTTATAAAGAATAAATTGATACACAATACATGATAAATAGGGTAACCCTAAGACCAATATAATCATGATAAAATAGGAATAAATACCTACAGAGTGACATTGGCGACTGTAATACTTCTTAGTTTTCCGGAAGTAACAACCGAGAATCCTTTTTGAGTCGAAGAATAGCCTAAGAAGACACATTTGAGCGCGCAGCGGAGATTTGTCTAGACCGGAGACAATGTCATGACAAAACAACACAGCCAAACCTCAGGGAGATGTTGAAAGAGAGATCATTAGTAAACCAAATGTAGAAAGGACTTTATTATCAAGAGATAGGAGGATGGCATCCTATTAATAGATAACATGCAGTTAAATGGCCTCCCCCAGTGATGGACATGGGATGGATATGTGGCAACAACAAAAGGTACGAGCAGTTTCAACCAAGTGTCTCTTTTTTTTTTTCGTTCGGTCTACCCATTTTGCTTGTGGTGTATGAGGACAATAAGACTGACGTAAGATACCATGGGACTTCAATATTGCAAAAAGGAGGATTAGCAATACTCTTTTTGCATTATCACTTCTTAATATGTTTATTACTTCACGCCAAATTGATCTTGATTTCATCAAAAAGGATTAAGATAGCTAACAATTCAGAACGATTTTTCATAGATAAAAACAAACCCAAAAAGTACATCTTGAATCTTCATCAATAAAGGTAACAAATATCTAACCTAAAACAAGGAGGATATACGACTAGGTGTCCCCATATTCAGAAATGGATGATGGACAAACGAGAATTACATATTGATTGAGACCTTTTAGGAAAGGAAAGATTAACATGTTTCCTAATTGACATGACTCACATTCTAAGGTTTGGAGACCACTAAGTTCGGACCATCAGTTTTAAGTTGGTACAAATGATGATGGCCAAGTCGATCATGTAGCACTTTAGGAATATAGGAGCATCAACACACGACCCTTTGGAAACGAGATCCAAATGGTATATCCGCCGCTCATATGCCCGTCTCGCATCTGTCGCCGTTCGCTCCCCTCCCCCCGAACCACCTCCCTGTATAACAAAAGATTATGATCAAAGGTTATTGAACAATTTACCATTTAGTCACTGGCTAAGGAACTTAAATTAAAAGGACAATTAGGAACAAAAAGGACAAGTAGGAACACAAGGACTGAGTTGAGATTGAGGGAGGGAATACAAAGAAACATGACCGACTCCTTTGGAAGAAGTTTTAGATCCATTTGCAAGGGTTATCCCCTTTTACACATTTGAGAGCCCTATATATCTAATTAATTACATAAATGATTATGAGAATGAACAAAAACAACACACCAAAAGATTGACAAGATAGACTTGATTTTTGGGAAGAAGAGGGAACACAAAACAATATAGACTTAACAGGATTTATTGGGTCTAAGATACAAGTGGATTATCTATTAATGGAGTATACGGCAATTAACAGAATTTGTCACCCATAGGATTGGGAACAAACATATATAAAAGAAGAGCTCTATTAGCTTTTAAAAGATGATGTGGCAGTTAACACAATTTTTAGAGGACTTCTTTCTAGCATTTAATGGCTTGTGGACCTCTTTCTTATTATCATGGTTGAGCTTGTGTTGAAGATTCCTCCATTAAGCATGAAAACCTGTTGAGTTTCTTCTCCCCTTACAATTAAAAAACTTCTAGTAGTGATGGCAATTTTTCTCTCCTTAAGTTTGTACCCTAATTGGGTTATACTCATGGTTCAACCTATGTAGGAATTTGAAGATTCTTCCTCTTTCCATGTCTTCAATTTACACATTTTCACATTTTGGTATTGTTCTAGTTTGATCCACAACCCATTCAAAAATTTCATAATATTTTGATAAGGAGAGAGATCCCTCTGTTGTATTGAAGACTCTGGTCTCAATGTCATAACAGAAAAAAATTTCTTTGATGGGCAAGAATAGTTTAAAGCATCCCTATATTTCTTTAGTGGAGGAAAAGACCATAAAGTTTCTACCTATCTGGAGAACCATGGAATGCCTGCAAGTCATAATCAATGAGTCTTCACTATCCCAACTACCTAAAGTAGATTCAACTAATCCTAATTCCTCCACCATCGATGTGATCTAATCATGACAGTCCCTTGAGATCCTCTGAATGTACTACGTCCATTGCAAATAATTTGGTCATCAAATTCGTAAATACTCACTACATTGAAGATCATTAGGACCGAGAGGAATGTATTTCACCTTTGATATTAAAAAAAAACATAAAAATATGCCAGATCTTTTAGAAAAGAGAACCTGTTTGGTAAGAGAATTGAAAATCTCATATGTACTCAAAGCTGAGACAAATTCAAAAAGACACTGCCCTTCAGAACAAACTCGAGGTTTTTCAGAGACTCTCCCTCAGCCCACAATAAGTGGGGGGTGTTTTCGGAACTAAGTGCATGAATTACACACATTGGTATTGGTGACGACATGTGGGGGCTCCTTAAATGATGCAATTGATTGCATGAGGTGCACTTCTTTGACTTTCACCACCGTTAACTATAATGACAAGATGGATAGTGGTGGTGTGTGGTTGTTTATTTGTTGTGCAACAAGAAAAATAGAGCTCCTGGTTAGGTCCTCTAATAGTAATACCAACTTGTAAAATGCAGGGGAACAAGGAATTGATTTTACTGATAAAAATCATGCAAATTACATTCTCATCAAAATGGGATTGCGAAAAGTAGGAATCATCCTCTCCGTGAAGTTGTGAGAGTCCTCCAGTTGTATGTTTCTAATATCTATTAAGGAGAAGCAGTCTACATATCTCATCAATAGGTTATCCTCTGCCGTTTGGAAAGTTTTTTTCCTTTATTTTCCAATTAAACACATTTTTTCCGTCTTTCCTTCTTCACACATAGTGTTAACTCTGCCATGTCATGTCTTTGGGTATGTTACTTATAGGTACTTAGACTTAATTATTTCCTCAAAGAACTCCAAGAAAGCTTTTTTTTATTTGCACAGACCAGACAGTTTGGTCTGCACCTGAAAGTAAAAACAAGCACACACAACACCAGGTCTTTTGAGAGGACCTGTCTCTCCCTTCCCTTTGTCTAAAACAACACTAAAACTGAAGAGAAACAAGCCTGTACAAACTATATATAATAGTCTGTTTACAACAGTTTAACCCCCAGACAGTTACAACTGTCTATCCCCCTTATTTCTTCGTACATAAACCTTCAATCTAAACCTTTGTCTATTCTCGTAGTTCACACCCATGGCTGTGTAGATTGTATAGATGCCAAATTATAGTAAATACAAAAGATTATAGGAACTTTATTCCTTTATACATGATATATAAATTAGTTTGAATAAATTTGTTTCTAAGAAGATATCCCTATAATTATAAATATCCTAATTAAATAAGGAAGTTAATTATTAAATGTACAGGAATAAATCCTAAGAGATCTTCTAAGGTTCTCTAAAATATTCTATGATATTATAAGATATTTCTAACATTTTTAACACTACCAGCCTAGTTGAAGATCAATAAGCTTTCAGCTTGTTGCATCAATTTCCAAACAAATAAATTGAAATATAAAAAATGAGCTTGTGCAACGGCCAATAAAATCACTTTTGCTGCTTTGTTTCAATCTTTATTGCAGCATGACACTATTGTTTCTTCAACTCCCCACCTCTGCAATTGCGACACATTTGACATGCATTAACAGATGAATGAAGATTAGAGATAACCATGAAATCAACACCCAAAATGAAACCAAACTAAACTTGCGAAACCGTCACTGGACTTGTGAGTTTAGATTAGTTTGAACGAGTTTACTATAGTTTACACAAGCTAAATCAATAGAGTTAACCTGTTTCATGGATGGAAGAATGTGAGACTCAAGATATTGCAGTCCTAATTATGAGGGATTATTGGAAATCAGCCTTAATTGCAGTCAGCCCTAGCTGCCTTATTTATGAACTCTTTGAGGGCATGCTTAGTTGTAGGCTCAAAGGTGTTGATGTAGTCTTACATTAAATAGAGATATAATTTAAAGAAAAATTTAAATCATCGGTTGTCTTCACCATGCAAAATGATTATGTGAGGTTGAATTAGATCGTAATTCCAAATTCTAAGAAGTCTCTTCCTGGTTCAGCATTAGAGCTCGTATCTAGTAACCTATTTCATCTTGAAGTAGCCTTAAACAGTCTTTTTGGGATTGGTTTGGCAAATTTAACAGTTATCACCAGTTTAGTAGTATGGTATGACACGGTGAAGTTGACTACTCTGTCTTTTATTAGATGGTATATGTTTCAAATCTTTTGTATTCAGTAATCATTGGATTCTATCAATCACGTAATGAGAATCATCTTTAGCTTAGAAGAATATTATTCTGTGCATATCTTATTGAACCTATCTATTTGTCTATGATTACTGCAATATCTTTCCTTTTGATGCAGGAATTACAAGAATTTTACTCCGCTGTGGAAGAAGCAAAGGCTGATATAGTTGGCCTTTGGGCATTGAGGTTTTTAATCTCCCAGGTTAATTATTATACTCTTTTATTTTCTCACAGGATTAAAAAGGGAAATATGTTGAGGGAAAATAAATACATTATCAGGAGTCGTCCTAACTATGAGAAAACCTGTAAAAGGAACAGGAACAAGAAGGGAAACCATGAGCTTGGCTATGCACTCTATATCTCTGAATTTTTATGAAACAAACCCCCTGAAAAATCCATTTTGGACAATAAGTCTTACATTGTATTCTTAAGCTACATGACTATTCAAACTTATAGAACACAAATGTGTAAAACTTCTCTTTCTTCCAGCAAACTTCCATGTTCGGGCTTGGTAGGACAACGGAATTTTCTTCAAGTGACAATTTACACAACTGTTGAACAACTGTACAATTAATATATTTACTTAATATCAGACATTATCTATGCTTTACACCTTTTGTAGAAATATTAATTATGCTTTATATGTCTGTCTTCATCACTTGGTAGCTAAGTTGTTTCACTGTTTTTGTGTGTTTGGCTTCTTAGGTTTTGTAGACATCTTAGAGCAGATGATAATGTCATTGATTTTCTCTATGATTTTGCCAGGATTTGCTTTCTGAAAGTTTATTGAAGTCCATGTATGTTTCTTTTCTTGCTGGATGCATCCGCTCAGTACGTTTTGGTTTAGAGGAAGCTCATGGGTGCGCTGATAACTTTACATCCTAGTTTCATCTTGATTTATTGTTGTGATGTAATTTAACATCTAATCTACTGCATATTTGCAGAAAGGGACAAGCATTGCAGTTCAATTGGTTATATGAGAAAGGAGCCTTTGTATGGAAAACTGAAGGCACAATTTCTGTTGATTTTACCAAGGTATTATGGCTTAAAATTAGTGTTCTATCTTGGTCCCCCCATCCCGAGTTTGTTTCCCAGAGATGAGTGATATTAATTAAGTTTTTCTTCCTCAAGATTGAAGGAGCGGTTGAAAGCTTGAGCAGGGAGATACTCACCCTACAAGCCAAAGGGGATAAAGAGGCGGCTGGTTTACTTCTCCAGAAATACTCCGTGTTGTCTGAACCACTGAAAGTTGCTCTCAAAAAGTTGGAGACTATTCAGGTATAAATCAACCACAGTACTGTGTTAGTTGCACTGTTTTGAAAACCAGAGCAGACAGCCTGTTTTGCACTGTTTTTATTCAATTTATCATTTGAAGCAGTACATCAGTCTCTAAATGTAGAGAACTCTAATCCTTCCTGGACTTGTCTTCAAATATGGAAGGATTTTGTTTACGACTTGTAAATGTGTCGCCTTTGGGTCATTGTTACGTACCTGAGTACGGAACCTAACTAGAACAACTTCTCACACACTCACAACACATAAAAGAACAATGAACGAATGATAGTGGATGAATGAATCTCTTTTATTGATGGTAATATCTGAATAAAAATAAGTAAAAAAAGATAACTGGGAGCATAACCTCCCTCACAGTACTCTAGCTGCCTATATACAAAACTCAACAATCAAAAGCTTGCCCTCAACCCTAACGTCTAAGCTTTATTTATATTAAATATTTCCCTAGAATATAGTTCTATTTACTATAATTAACTTATACTGAATATTTCCCTAGGATATTGCTCTAATTAGTATAATTAACTTGTACTGAATATTTTCTTAGGATATAGCCTTAATTACTATAATTAACTTGTACTAAATATTTCCCTAGGATATAGCTCTATTTACTATAATTATTACTAAATATTTCCCGCCTATCCTAACTGGGGTCCTAACTGTTGTCCCAGTTAGGATAGTCACTCTTCAACTGATCGACTCAGGATCTTTGCTGCTTCCCATCGCTCCGCTCGAGCTCTCACCACCTTCGGCCGTTCAACTTGACTCCTCACCGTCTTCCACCGTTCGGCCTGGCCTCTCCCGCTTTCCGCTGATCGGCTTGGTCTTCTGCGTTCTCCCGTTCGGCCTTCTCCTTCTCTCCAATACCTTTTTCTCTCATATACCTTCCACCACCTGATGATCAACCTTGTCCTCAAGGTTGAAATCTAGATATTGCTCTTTGATAGTTATTGCATCCTCCCACGTTGCTCCATCCAGTCCCCCCCTTGCCATTCTATTAACACTTGTTGCACCTCGTCCTTCCCTTGTTGGACCTGTCTCCTATCCAAAATTCTGATAGGCCTAAAAGACGGCCCCTCCCCTTGCAAGTCTGTTGGCAATTCCTTCTCCACACTTCTTTTTCCTACTGCCTTCTTCAACTGGGATACATGGAACATTGGATGTATCCGTGCGGTATCTAGCAATTGGAGCCTAAAGGCCACCGCTCCGACCTTCTGTGTGACTTGGGAAGGTCCAAAATACCGAGCGGCTAGCTTAGGATGTAGTTTGGTCGACATAGAAGTCTGCCTGTGCGATCTGATCTTTAAGTACACCCAATATCCAACCTCTACATCTACTGATCTCCTTGTTTTGTTGGCCTATTGCACCATCAGTTCTTGAGCACGTGCCAAGTGAAACTTTAGTTGTTTCAGCACTTCGTCCCTTGTTTGCAGCTCCTGACCAACGGCTTCCACTAAGGTTTCCCCTGGTACGAACCTGTGCAGAGAAGGAGGAGATCTCCCATACACTGTTTCAAACGGAACACCCTACCGCTTCTTGGTAGCTAGTATTGTACCAATACTCAGCCCATGGTAGCACTGAACTCCACCCCTTTGGTTGTTCTGAGCAAAAACATCTTAGATAACCCTCCAACACCCTGATAAACACCTTAGTCTGCCGTCTGATAGGATGATAAGCAGTGCTCATCTGTAGTTGGGTACCCTACATTTTAAATAGCTCCTTACAGAAGATACTTAAAAACACTGGATCTCTATCATTAACAATAGACATTGGTACCCCGTGCAACCTGACAATCTCCTTAACAAATACCTCAGCTATGGTACTCTCACGGTCCACCACCACCAATACAACATCATACCCTTGGGATTTGGGCAACTTTACTATAAAATCCATGCTTACTTCCTCCCAAATAGTGTTGGGTATGGGCAAAGGTTGCAGCAACCCCTGTGGAGAAGATGACAGGTACTTATGCTATTGGCACACCAGGCAGCTTGCAACAAAATCAATCACTGCTTTCTTCATTCCTATCCAATAAAGTGATTTAGTTATCATGCGATACTTCTGATATTCCCCTGAATGTTCTCCTGTTTGAGTCATGTGGAACTCAGCTATTAGTTTAGGTACCCAGGCTGATTGAGTCGAGATCACAAGTCTTCCCTTATAGTGTAGTCTGCCATGCTCCATGGTAAAAGATGGGTGTGAGTTGGGGTCCCTTTTAAGGTCTTCCATCACCTTTTTCAATGCTTCATCCGCCTCAACCTCCTTCAGAATCTCTCCAAAGTCTTGCCAATAAGGCCTGGACACAAGCCTCAATTCCTTCTCATCCTCCGTACATTCCTCCTTTTTTCGAGATAGAGCATCTGCAACCCTGTTGGTAACCCCTGACTTATACATAATTTCAAAATCATACCCTAGGAGCTTTGCGATCCAAATGTGCTGATTTTGGATGGTGATGTGCTGCTCCAATAGGTATCGGAGGCTCCTTTGGTCAGTGTGAACTACAAATCTTTGACCCAATAGATAAGGTCTCCAGTGCTGTATAGCCATTACCAAAGCCATTAGTTCTTTCTCGTATATCGATTTGTTCAACGATCCCTCCGATAAAGCCTTGTTGAAGAAAGCCCTTTTCCTTGTGTGAGAACGACTCCTACTCCTCCTCTCGATGCATCACACTTAATATGGAAAGGTTGGTTAAAGTCAAGTAGAATCAATTCTAGTGCAGTAGTAACGGCCTCCTTCAATCTAGTCATGGCTACATCAGCTTGTTTGGTCCATGTAAACTGCCCCTTCTTAAGCAATTCGGTCAATGGCTTGGCGATCTTCCCATAATCCTTCACGAAACGCCTATAGTACCCCGTTAGTCCCAGAAACCCCCTTAAAGCCTTCAACGTCTTGGGATTTTCCCAATCCATCACAGTCCTCACTTTATCTTGATCCATCTCCACCCCCTTTTCCGAGATCAAATGTCCTAGATATCTTATTTGGATCCTACCAAACTCACATTTCTTCCTATTAGCCACCCAACTGATCTCCTCCAGCTTCCTCAACATTAACCCGACATGCTTCAAATGCTCCTCTCAAGATCGGCTATACACCAATATGTCATCAATGAATACTAACACGAATTTCCGCAAGTAGAGTTGCATCATACTGTTCATAGCACTCTGGAAGGTTGTTGGTGCGTTAGTAAGACCGAACGACATCACCATGAACTCATAATGGCCTTGGTGAGTCCTAAAGGCCTTTTCTCAATATCCCCTTCCCTCATTTGAATCTGGTGGTATCCTGCCTTCAAATCCACTTTAGAGAAATACCTATCACCGGGATGGGAAACTTGTCAGGTACAGTGCTCGGTTCAAAGCTCTATAGTCCACACAAAACCTCCAACTGTCATCCTTCTTCTTAACTAATATAACTGGACTTGAGTATGGACTGGTGCTCAGTCGGATGATCCCTGTCTTAAGCATCTTCGTCACCTGCTTCTCGATTTTTCCTTTCATCACATGGGGGTATCTATATGGTCTCACATTTATTGGGTCCGCTCCCTCCTTGAGAGGTATCCGGTGTACCATGACTCTGTCGGGAGGTAATCCTATGATCTCGTTGAATACCCTTGAGTACTGATCTAAAATCTGATCCATTGCCTGATTCTGCTCCTCTGTCAATCCCTGACCGAACTGCTCTCCTTCCTCGCTCTTCCCTGTACACCCTAGCTCCCACACTAACATCCAAGCTTCCATTTTTGTCATTTTGAACAAGGCTCGTGGTTCAACCAATCTTCGAGCTAAAGTAGGGTTCCCCTTTATGGTCACCTTCCTCCCTTCTTGACCGAACACCATGGTCAATTCCCTTCAATTCAGGGTTACTTCACCCAGCTTGGCTAGCCATTCTGCCCCCAGAATTACATCAACTCCGCCCAATTCCTGAGGGGGAGGTTAAGCTCTCACAATTCACATACTCTGTATTCTTTTGCTATCAATACAAGAATATTTCATTCTTTCTTCTTGGTGTGGGTGTGTTGAGTGCCCTTTAGTATAATTGAGAAAGGTTCTTAGAAAGGAACCTAACAGTTTCCCTCATCCCAAGAGAAACATTTGAGCATCTCACTTCATGACCCGGCTGTAGTATGCCAAAAGCTGCTTCTTATAAGTTTTCATCCACTTACAGCTTGTCTGTACTTTATGCATTTTATATGTGAATAACGAAGATTTGCATTTTAGAGCTTAAATATGGCTGGCTATTGTTTGACAATAAGAATATCATGGCCTAGTCTATCTCGACTAGAAGTATATAGGAAAAAGAAAAACTGTGAGGACCTGGAAATTAAATTACAAACACTAAGCTAAATCTTCTTGATCGTATTATTAAAATCTTATAATGATTTTTATTAGACTCTTAATTCTGCTGGTATAGTCTGTTTGTGCATACAGAAACTAATTCCGGATATATTGTATCGTGTATGTACCCTAGGTACCTGTTGATGTAACTCCGACCTTTCCAATTGCCAGCAAAATATTACAATGAAGGAAAGAGAAGCAATGTGCAAATTTTCGATGCTGTACCATCTTTTTGTAAGCCTGTCTTTGAGCTAGTTGTTACTGTGTAATGATGGAATACTTGTTTCTTTTGGATGTTGCTGTTTACCGTTCATTGATTCAAATAAAAGCAATCGGTCTCTTAGACGTTGTCTTAATTACAATGTTGTTATTACGCTAATGATGAATGACCGAACTTACATTGAATCGTTGAATTCCTAAGTTCTTATCCTTCTTGCTGAAAGGTTGCATCGTAAATCTTAGATAGGGTTTATCATATATTTTTATTTGGTAATAGAGCAACATCTCACATATGTCACCCAAAAAATAAATTAAGGCAAACAGTATACAATGTTACTCAAAAGGAGCAGACTCAGAGGTGGGGAAAGGAAATGAAGGAGAGGTGAAAGCACACTATTGAGTGCTTTAAATCTCCCCAGAGCAACACGATGATAGCATTTCCAAATCAGTGCGTCTTCCAGATTTCCTAAACTTAGGTGTGATTTCCATATTGTCCTGGAATACATTTTTGAATTTGGGATACATTCCGGATTGACCAATGCAAAAATCATAATTGAGTTATGGATTGAGCAATGCGAAATGTATTCTTAGATTCGGTGCTGCATTCTGGATTAGTCAGGGCAGCATCTTCTTCATTTCGTATGTGGGTACCCCTCTTCCATCTCATATTAGACCACGACAGTTACTAGGTCTCTAGGCGTTCCTCCATCCCTTGCAAGCCACGCCATCATCACTGGGATTTTCTTCGATGCCACTGCATCCAAAGGCTGCCTATTCCATCTTCTTCATTAAGCACAAGGAGATGACGGCGAGAGCTACAAGATGCGTGAGGTGGAAGGGCGTTGATCATGTTGTAATGGATATGGCCCTCGAAGACGATTCAGTCAAAAGGGTTTTCTGAAGGTTACCTTAATGTTGATTGAGCAATTGGTGAGCATATCTTTGCAGCCCCAAGTATCATGGTCGTGTGTTTGATGAAGATTTGGATTTCTCTTTCATGGATGTTGCGTTGGGTATATCTCATAGCAGCCATGCAAGGTCATGGACCTCGGTCAAACGCTTCACGTGACTCCATAGAATTGCACCAGATTCTTATGCCCTACTAAAGCCCGCAACTTCTTCTCCTCACAAATAATAGTTGGTGTAAATGTCAATGATTGGGATGGTGGCCAAATGCACCAAGATCTCGAACCCAATTGCACGTGGTTGTTGTCGATCTCGTGATGATGGCATTGTTGTTGTGTAGTTGGTGTAGATGTTGATTTTGTTAGAGATTAGCTCATGACCATGCCACAGTTATGGTAGAGGGATGACACGAAATGTTGTGTAGGATGTTATGCGAGGTTCTAACCGTGTGGTCTTCCTGTGAACGAGAGGTGCCATGATGCGCAATACCTTCCTGGTCGCCGTGACGATCTTGACAACTTTGGTGGCTTGCTGGGTCAACTCCAATGGAGTGTAGAGTCAACATAGGATTGGCAACCAATGTCGTGCCACAGCTTGGAGTTCATGTGTGGTGTTTTTTGCAATTATACTTCTCAACTTTAGTTGTTGTCGCGTAGTTAGAAGAGAGATGTTACGGTTTTTGTCGTGGAGGTGGGGATGAGTGTGGTGTTGTAAGAAAGTTTAAGCTCAAGGGAGGCAGGTGTGGAGGAGGGGCAATAGCACTAGTTACATATTCCATCTAGCACGACTAAAAGTAAACCATGGATTAACAACGAAGTGGGAAAACACATCCAATGGGCTGATCGTAGAGATAAAAATTCCTGTGCATGTTGCGTGGATGTTAGTAGTGCAACAACAACCATGCATGGGAGAGTGCAGCCGCACGACGCGAGGAACCAACAACAAAAGGTTCTCACCACCAGGATGCATATACTGGATTCTCTGGTTCGAAACACAATAATATTTACTCGATTAAGTAATATGGAATATAGATCCGGATTTGGGGGTACATATCATATTGTCCAATTCGGAACTTACGTGTAATTTTTGGACTAGTCAAATTCGAAATGTATTCTCGGATTTGCGAAGACATTCCGGATTGTTTAATTCAAAACTTAGGTGTGATTTTCGAATTGAGGAATCTGAAACGTACTTCCGGATTATAGAGTATATTGTGGATTACCCAATTTGGAATTTTTTATTTTTTTAAAAAAGAACCCTTCCCAATATAGAGAATCTGGAACGCATGATGCCGTGCTTCGTTTATGCTTCCTTCATCCTTCCCTAACATGTTTACAACTTTGTATGATATTAGTGATGACAACGTAATCGTAGCTTAACTACAAGTGCAAGTTGGAACCTTGAGGAAGACTAATTTAAAATATTTGAGCTAAAAGCATTGATGGCATCAAATAACACTTCAAAGGAGAGATCTGCAGGTGGGAGGAAGGATGTCTCAGCAGCGTAGGGTGGAGGGGATGAAGGAGGGAGATTAGGGTTTTTAATATCCTTCTAATGGGAATATTGAAGACATTTCACTAATGCTACAAGGTGGATAAAGAAAACATGGGCTGCAAGAAGAAATTGCCCGCTGTTATATGTGACTTTGATTGGGCCTTAAATATTGATGCTTGTAGGTTATCTTCTTTCTGCACCTCGTTTTCTTTCATGCACTTCTATAAAACTTAATATACCCATTTTACCCTTCATTAGCTGTATATTAGAAACCTCTAAATCAAACTCATTCTCCCCTCCGTTCTTTCAATTGTCCCACAGTTCCTTCGCCTCCTTCCATCCTCAACTTTGTTTCTTTCTTCCAGTGCTGCCAGGATCTCTTTCCATCCTCAACTCTAATTTTAATAGATGTAAATTGATTCAAAGAGAAGTTATTCTGATGGGAGGTACTCACTTTTTCCGTGGATACGAGTTCATGTTCATTCCTATCCTCTTGGCTTGAGCAAGTGTAGCCGCATTTGATAAATTTGTACAATAAGATATTCTTGAAGTCGATATTTATTTCTCTTGCTTAGGTTTTGATTATGGTTACCATTATTTGCACATTTTAGGTTCTGATTTTGGTAAGGCTGCCATACAATTTGCGTTTGCTAAATTTACCTTTTATTTTATCATCTGACGAGCATTTGCATTCCTTGGTGTTTCTATCTTTCATTATAAAGACTTGAACTATTAGCATAAAGAACTCAATTCCAGATTCACCGTATTTAATTGTTTTAAAATCCGGATTAGGTATTCTGAAAGGTATTTTCAAATCCAGAATACGTTTTAAAACACTTAATATGGAATTTTTTTTATGTATTTCAGATTGAGTGTTTCAATAAATATTTTTGGATCCAGAAATGTTTTGCAGAACATTCACTTTGGAATTTGTTTTACATATTTTAGAATGAGTGTTTCGTAAGACATTTTGAGATCCAAAACTATTTTTTGCAACACTTAATGTAAAATGTACAAAAAAGTATATTAGGATTAATTGTTTCAAATGTATTTTAAATATGAAAATACCTTCCATGACACTCAATTCGAAAATATTAAAAATGAGGTATATAGATTTTTATTATAATTTTAATGAGACGCCATTTGGAAACTATCGCTTTTATGGGATATCGCTTTTAGGGGAGGATGTAATAGTACAATTTTAAATAACGTTATTCCAATACATTCAAAAATCCAAAGGATTCTCCTAACTTTAAATATTTTCAACATTTTCTACAGCAACATCTATTTTCGTAAAATCATACTCACTCACATTGTCTAAATTATCCATTACACGAAACCAAACCACATTCATAGACATATCAAGCTGTCAATAATATACAATGTATTTTTCCTTTTCGTAACCTATTATCGTCCTGCTTTACCCAATAATGATAATAATAAGGTTCCTAATTCTTTAACATGACAATTTAATCATAATGAATTACTCAATTGGTTTTCGATTCTTGATTTCTTGACCCTTGGTGTTATTACTAACATCTCACACCTAGACTTTTGGTCTATCCACTTATTAGCATATATGTTAACTTCTTACTATAACCGTTATAGTAACACCATTATCAACAACACCACTTGGAGCATCCCCAATACCATTCATCATAGATACACCACCATTATAACTATTCTAATTATGAACAACACCATGAGCATCATCATACCATGCACACCATAGTGGAAAGAGTTAGTCCCACTCTCGTACGCTACCTCACTCGTCTATATTGCTCCTATAGACCAATGTGTAGCTTTCCCTACAGATATGCTCGAGTAGTCCAAAAATCCAACTAAGGAACATGTAATCATGTACCACAAGAACAAGGAAAACACCATCACCCCACAAAAGGAAGGTTCAATACCCCGGACAATCTTTCCTATGCACGTAAAGCAAAAAGAAGCACTTATCCGAAGATAAAACCAGGATTTACTAGGTACAATTAGTAGACTTATCCACCACTCTCATGCTCATCAACCACATATTCAGGTACATCCCAACACTCACTCATGCTCCCATCTAAACCACAAGTCAAACCTAACCCTAAACATAATCACTGATCTCATTCTTTGATTATAATCACTACAACTCCTCAAGCTTAGTCTACGCCCATTCTTCATAAAAACACACTATTATAGTAAAAATATACTAGAATAATCGATTATTCTCGAAACGTTCATATTCTCACGAAATATACTGTGATAATCGATTATCTTAGTGGTTATACACAACCAATTCCATAATTCATCATTTATGAAAAGATAATCGATTATCAACCCAGATAATTGATTATTCCAAAAAACATACTCAAAACCAATGCGAAAATAATCGATTATGACTAATGATATTCAATTAAATCCAAATCGAAACACATGTTAGACATAATTCAAATGTTTGAAACACACATACAACAACCTTAGGTCACGAGATAACATACCCAATACATCATCCAAACCCAACATTATTAAGATTATAACCCAAAGAACCCCAACCTTCTACATATGATTATCATACCATCTTTATAACATATATTCGCATGGTAAAACCCCCAATTATTATAACTTTGTTCCCTCTTAGCATCAAACCTTATTATGGGATAACCCAACAAAACATACATACATTCATAGAGAAAACTTATCACCAATATTATATAAACTCTATCCTCATGCATACAGAAACCCTTACCCAACCATAACCACAAATGATCATAACCTTAATTATGTACACATGCATCAAAAC